ACTTTCGTTCAATGAACGCGTTCAGGCACAACACTGCCCACCGGTTACCTGGCTTCCCAGGTCCCAGGCGGTTACCTATAGTGCTGCCTTTATCTCTGTGGAACGATAGCAGCAACATTGGGGAAGAGAGGGAGAAAAAAAAAGCTTATTTCACACTTTATCCTTGACAGAATACAGTTTGAGATATCAAAAAAAGCCTCAGCACAAGAAAAGCACATGTAACACGAGACAGACATTTCAGCAGAGGATCAGCTCGGAGGAGGAGTCACATGAAGTCAATCTGACGTTTGAGACATTAGTTGTGTGTGTACGATGAGTGTGTTCAATTTGTCCGTGAACGCTGTCCACAGGCCAGTGTCCTTGATGAGATGGAAGGTTATCAACAGTTCTGGGCGCAACCACAGATGTTTGCGGGTAGGGGAGGAGGGGAACAGTTCTTCTGTGCCCTTTCGCCATAACATCCATCGGAGACTTTGATGAGGTGGGGCGGCCGAATCCAGAATAACACTTATTGTTTTGAGAGCAGGCTGCACAGGAATTTTCTATCAGCCTTGAGTATTTTCCTTCTGGCTCTATGGTGCGAGTCTAATATTCCAAATTGTTTGGCTTTTCCATCTTGAAGGGAGAGTGCACATCCAGGATATTATCACTTCTTACATTTGAGTTCAACCAAACCAGCCTGCGTTCATTCGCGCCCAGCTTACGGCTCATCTCCCAATCTTGCTGGTTCACAGCTTGTGAGCGCGTCAACCTCTGCCGGCAGCTTGATCAGTGCCCAAATTGCCGCCGACATCCTCTGTAATTGTAGATGCATCAGGCATCCTCCAAATCCAAACAGGAGAAATCCGATTATCATAAATCCCAAAATCCATATATCTTCGATATCCTCCACTCACAGCATTGTGAAGCACACCATCCTCCAAGCCTTCCAGGAGTCCATGGTGTATCCCACAAAGATGTCCCGGCAGGACAGAACAGGTCCCCTTTTCCCGGTCTTCCAGTTAAGGAAAATTTGATCAATTGCACTGAGAGACCAGCTGACCAGATCCATTGTTTGGGTTTGGATGACATGAAGAGAGAGCTTAGAAAAGACAGCAAAGCAGGGAGGTGCAGGAGCACTAGGAAAATGCGACCGCAAGAGTCAGAACAGTAGTTCTGAAGTACTGAAACTGAAATCTCGGTTGCAATGTAAATTGTAGTTGACAATAAAGTTGATTGATTGATTAATTGATTAATTGATTGACTGTCATGTCTCTCTGCAGGAGTTTACTGCATCGACCAGCGCCTCAGTTACCACCTGGAGCCACCCTGCAGAGGTACAGCGTGGCGTGCACGGACCTCCTCACCACCTCCTCCTCCCTGAAGCTCCCGCAGCCAGTGGCCGCTCCAGCTTGTGTTTAGGAACCTCTTGCATGAGTCTCTTGAGGTGTAATTGTGTCTCTGCAGGATAAATCTTCCCTCTGTCTTTTTCTAACCTTCATCACTTCCTGAACCCCAGGAAAACTTTTTCCCGCACATGAGCTCTACTGTTCCTGCATCTTTTGTTCTGTGCTGCTGCTATCTGTCCGATGGGTCCTGTTGTTTTTTTTCCTAATTCTGAATAGTCTGATGTCCTGATCAAGGGTTGCTATGGTAACCACAATGTACAGCTCCAAAAATGAGAATAATGTGAAGACTTTGCATATTTTATGTCCCACATAGATTAAATATGTTTATAAGACATGGAGTGAAATAGTTTTTAGACTTTTTTTCTTGTAATTCTGATGGCTGCAGCTCACAGAGAATGAAACCTAAAAATGTGTGTTTTAAGCAGAAATGTCAGCGTTATTAAAAAAAGTCCAGTTCTATGTACTTAGCATGGACGTCATTGGAGGGGGGACAAGGGGGGAAATGTCCCCTGTATTTTTTCAAAATTCACTTTTGGTTTCCTGCACTTTTTACCGTCTTTTTTTTTTTTTTTAGATTATTCTACATTTCTGTTCTATTAAAATTTAGGTTTTCTTTATCTGTAAGCCATAATAATCAGAATTACAGGAATTAAAGGTCTGCATTCTGTGTGATAAATCTCTATATGTCTGTATCTCCTTCTGCAATGGATTATGAGGTCGTGAACATTTTTACAATGTTTTGTTTTGGGGCAAAATGTTTCCTTTCAGAAGATTTGTTGCATTAAATGGTCTCCATGATGCAGTGATGGTGGTTAGTTCATTAAGGATGAAGAAAACTCCAGGCGGGGTTTTTACTTTGCTGATTGCCCGTCTCGTTCGTCTAACCATGAAGTTCCTCTGCAGCAGATCTTCAGAGCCTTCAGAGCAGTTTATGACCTCTGTTGCTTCTTGTGTTTTCAGACTACATGAAGGGTTCCTTGTCCAGCACCTGCTCCCTGAACAGCGAGAACCCGTACGCCACCATCAACGACCATCCAGTTCTGTGCAAACATTCAGAGAGCAGCTATGTGGAGATGAAGTCACCGGTGCATCATGAACACTGCTGCTCCTCCGCCATCATCAGCAGCAGCAGCAGTGTTCCCACCAAGAACGTCTATGACATGGGTGGGTTTAGACAGACCCTCCTCTTATTGGTCGTCAGTTTATGTCATGATCTTTGCTTTGCTACTCCTCACACTGTTAAAAGAAATGTGCTGCTTGGTAAGAAACAGTTTGCCAAGGCCATTGCAGGAAGGCATCAAAACAAAGACCTCTGAAAGCCATGAAAGCTGAAAGGCTCACAGGAAGTTCAACTTTACCAAACTTAGGTTAGCATTTCAGTCCCTTTCACAGATTTTTCAAACTCATACAGTAGTAGCCATTCAAAATGTCCCTACTTTCCTGGCCCTTGGCTGGTCCTTGGTAGCCTCGTGAGACCATCCTGATCTCGCGAGCTTTCAAGGTTTCACTCGCAGATCAGTCTGGAGACTTTCCGTTAAAGAAAATTTGGAGCCGTTCACCAAACAGACGTCCAATCAGCGTTGGCTTTGAGGCGGGTTGAGGTGCGACGCAACGAGAAGCGCGACAGTTCAGCCTAAAGAACATGGCGGCTTCAGCCGATGAAACTAGCGTTAGCGTGGCTATCAAGCAAGTTTTATCGGAATTAAAGAGTATTTCTTCACTGAAAGAAGAGCAAAACACTGCTCTGGAGGCTTTTCTCAGAGGAAAAGCGTTTTTTGCTCTTCTCCTGACTGGTTTCAGCAAGAGCAGCCTGGCTTGTGGTTGTGTTTTCGTCGTCGCTCTGTTAGTACGTCATATGCTTCGTTGATCTGATTGGTTTATTTGGCCCGTCTATCACCAACATAGGCCAATCAGCTAACCAGTATTTTAGCCCCTTCCCAAAATGACTTCAACGGAAGGTTTCCAGATGGATATGCGGAGCAAATCCATCTGGCGGAGTCAGGTTAGGTCCTTGGCTGGTCCCCTACAATTCCTTTTTAAGCATCTAAAATATTACCGTATTTTCACGACTATAAGGCGCACTTAAACGTCTTTTTTTTTCCTCAAAATGTGCGGTGCGCCCTATGGT